AGAGCGGGAGGCGGGGCTGCCGAGGCAGGCAGAGCCTTTGGTGAGATCACGGAGAACAGAGGCTGTACAGCATTCATTGTGCCGGACGCCAAGTTCAGTGCTGTTCAAGTTTTCTCTCCTTTAATCCTCCCAAGAGCATAAGCATTTAACTTTACTAGTTGCTCGCCCCTTTTTTCAGATGATAGAGCACATTTCAGAAAGTGATTAATCCATGAAGGCAAAGCTGACGGTCTTTATGGAGCAGCAGGCAATATCCCCAGTGGTCAGGAAGATGGACCTTGGGAACTGCCAGTTCTGGGCTCAGATCCTGGTTCTGCCAGTTATCCGCTGTGTGACCTTTGGCCACCCCGCCTCCAGGCCTCAGTTTCATCACCTGTAAGACAGAATTCTCAGTCCTCTGTCTTGCACGGCTCTTGCGAGGACTGAGTGGGATCGTGGATGTCAAGCACCTTGAGAGTGCCTGGCACCGAGCACACAGACGTGATGGGCATCAGGCTGGTCATCGACTTGCAGACCAGATGTATTGCGATGGGCTGGTCTGACGTCCCCGAGACCTTGTGGGGGCCCAGCCTGCCGTCTGCAGCCCCCGGGTGGTCACCTGTTTGTAAACACCCTTGTTCTTTTTCTTTTTTTCGGTACACGGGCCTCTCACTGCTGTGGCCTCTCCCGTTGCGGAGCACAGGCTCCGGACGCGCAGGCTCAGCGGCCATGGCTCACAGGCCCAGCCGCTCCGCGGCATATGTGATCCTCCCGGACCGGGGCACGAACCCGTGTCCCCTGCATCGGCAGGCGGACTCTCAACCACTGCGCCACCAGGGAAGCCCATCACCCTTGTTCTTGGCTATGGCAGGTGTACCCAACGCCTCCAGACTAATGGAGTCTGTGCAGGTCTTTGTTTCAACAGGATTTTCACGGCGGATTCTTTTTACACTAATCAATTTAAGGAACTGGGTAAGACTCCACCCACCCCCGCCTCTGAGCACAGATTGCAACTTCATAAGGCTCTAACTCACACATACGGCAGCCGACAAAAGGCTCTCTCTGTTGCTCCTCTGCTTTTAGCTGGGGCAGACGCTTCCCGACAGACCTCCTTATGTTTGGGCTTTTTCCTTCTCAAGACAAAGCTCCGGCTCTAGAGAAGACAGACCTTGGCTCCCACTGGCTCCAGCCCCGCCTGACCGCCTAAGCTCTCAGAGGCGCAACTCCCTCACCCATAAAACGCTGAAAAAGTGCCCAGCACAGTGTCAGGATCATGGAGGCTTATAGACACTGGCTGAAACAAGTAACGCTGTACGAGGAAGCTGGACTTGCAGTTGGAAGATGTGGCCCAAATTCTGTCACCACCACTCATGAGTTCTATGTTGGAGACCAGTTACTGACTCTCCATGTGTCAGTGCCCCTAACTGCAGAGTGGGTCAGAAATGCCTGTCTCGGTGTCACTGTGACAATTAAATATGAAAGTAGACCTGGAGAGCTGAACGTACTGATGTGAAATTCTCCGCGGGTGCTGGGTGTTGCAGAGGTTTCAAGCTGGCAGCCCACGGCCCTCCTCCAGCCTGTAAAAGTGTTTGGTCTCTCCCCGCCATGTTGATGATATGACCGTGACGATGGTGGTGGTGATTGAATTATTTGTCAACATTTATAAATCAAGGGGTGTCACATAAAAATCAATATTTCCAGCATTGTTCCTGCTTGGCTATAGTCACCCAGCCCCTGACTTTGTGGAACTTGGGCAGGGGTGCATATCCCATGTGGTCAGATGTGGAAGCCGTCACGAAGCTTCAAACTAGAATATGTTCAATCTTCTCTACCTTGACAAGTGTTCCTAATGACTTGGAAGGCTAGACTGGAATTTAGAAATCTAGGACTCCTTGGAGTTTTGTGCCAGAAAGTGGTAGCGTGGGCAGTGCCTGCTCTCCGCCCTTTCTTCTCACCCCTGGCTCCATCCTACACCACAGGGAGCCCGAGGATACCCTAACCTGAAAGCTCTGGCCAATTGCCCCCAGACCATCTTCCCTTTGGCTTGGTCCTGTTATTTGTCCCTCTGAGAAGAGACAGGCTTGGGCCATTTGGACAGGGAATTTTGGGGTCTCAAACACCCAGAATGTGGTCTAGAAGGATGGGTATGTGTTCCAGGTGCCATGACCCCCTGTGGACTCCTTACTGTATTGACAGGGCTGCAGCCACAGGAGGGGCAGCACAGGGACCCTCAAGGCATTGAGCCAAGAGCAAAGGCACCTCTTGCCCACGTCTCAGTGTGGTACCAGCAGCAACCGGCAGCAGCCGCACTGTGGCTGCCCCCTTTGGAAGGTGTGTGTACGTTCCCGATTGCTGCACTCCCCACCATTCCCTATTGCTCACAACCTGTTGGTCATTTAACTGCCTGCTCTGTCTCAGTAGGAATTGTGTTCACCCTGCCTGATGAAGCTTCCAGCACAGGGCCTGCCCTCAGTGGGTGTTTGGTAGGGGTGAGAAGCTGACTGAGTGGTTGGAAGGTTCTGTGTTCTGCATTCTCGCTGCTTTGCGTGGTCCTGACCGTCTCTGGTCAGTCACTCTGAGCCCCACTCCACAACCCATCACCCGTCAGGGACAGTTAG